TCTGGCTGTCAGCGGTGGTGCTTCCCGAAACGTATACATTGGTAACCTGGACGAGTCGTGGACTGAGGACCGTCTGAGGCAGGACTTTTCCGAATATGGTGAAATTGAGTTGGTCAACACTCTTCGCGAAAAGAGCTGTGCCTTTGTCAACTTCACCAACATTGCCAATGCCATCAAGGCTATCGAGGCCATTCGTGGACGTGACGAGTACAAGCGTTTCAAGGTCAACTTTGGCAAGGATCGATGCGGCAACCCCCCACGCCAGATGAACAGCCAGCAAACCCAGGCTCAGCAGGCTGGCAGTGACGGTCTCCAATCCCCATCGCCCATCAATGGTCTGCACCCCAATCGCGGTGCAGGTGCCTCTGTATCACCCACTGGATCAGGTGCACCAGGCTCTGGTAACAGCAACAATGGACAGTTCCCTCCTGTTCAGGCTCCTGCCTCTAACAATATCCTCAACACGGGCAGCAACAACCCGTTGATGATGTACTTGCAGGCTCAGCAGCAACAGCAGCAACAACAACAAGTCGAGGTCAGCATGCAGCAACAAAGCCAGCAGCAGCAGCAGCAGCAATCGTTCCAGTCGCCGCAGGCTGCATTTTATGGCGCAGACCTGAACCCCAGCCCACAGCCACACCACTCACACGCTTCGCATAACAGCACTTCGAGCTTCAGCCTCATCAACGGTAACTCGAGTGGTAGCATGTCGGGCGCCACAACGGTCGGCGGTCTCCTAGCACCATCAAATCTCAATGCACGTGCCCAGCATTCCCGCGCAGTCAGTCTGCCCGCCTTTACACAGGGGCCCTTTAGCTCCGTTCAGCAAACCCAAGCTCCACAGCAAAGTTCGTTCGGCAGCCTGAGCTCCGGCATTGGCGGCTTTGGCTCTGGCAACAGTGGCTACGGCCTCGCCATCCAGGGCGATGGTGGTCTCCCAGGATGGGCCGAGGAAGAAGTCGGCGCCCAGTAGACACCGATGATTCAACCTTATGCAAATCGCTTTATCCCCTCCCATTCAATGTGCGATATTTCCCTCTTACCACATTTATTTGTTGGTCGCTACTTTCGTTTTGCATTCCCACAATCTTCCCCTTTTCTTTTTTGTATCGGCGTCTTGACTCAACTGGGCTTGGCTTGGGTTGAGTGAGACCAGAGGGCAGAGAGAAAGACCTGGGTAAACGGGCGTTTCTTTTTTCTGAATGTTTAGGACAATGTGTTGTAATCTACTTTGTCTTGGACACACGTCGAACCCCAATCATGCCTTAATACTTGGACCCTTGTTCCGCACTTCGTTTCTTCTGTTCCGACCTTCTTTTTTTTATGCGCCACCGTTCGCTGTTTTATTAGATACCTGTAGGGATAGGGGGAGGATGTATGGATAGGACAGGATGAGATAGGATGAGGAAGGAGACGGTCAGGGTCGTAGGGGCATGACGGCGTGGTGGGTGCTGAGGGTAGTTGAATCGAGATCATGTGTTGTAATTGTTAACTTTGCGGTTTGAGACCTGTGTGGTGATGGTTCGTTGTGATGTGTATACCACTTGTTGTGGGGGGGTGACTACGAAAGTATATTGACGTGGCCATTCTGCGTTCAATATGTAGGGGTTTTTATGCATACGTAGTCTCGTCTCCCTTCTTAGCATCGACATGATCTTGTTTCGACACAACACGAGACTCGCATACCTCACACCGTCTCCCCCGCAGCACCCCAGTACCCGACCGCAGGCCTCTTGACCTTGGGAACCGTCATCTTGTAGTGCAAATCATCTTCGTCCTCTCCACTCCCCAGCGCCTCATCATCATCCGAGTCAATAGTAGCACCCCACTCCTCGTCATCACTGCCATGCCGATATTTTGCTTGGTACAAATCGCGACCCAGTTCGTCGTCTTCACTCAACTCATCCTCTGGGTAATCATTGGCGTAGTAATCCTCCGCGTTCTCATCCTCATCATCAGTGTCGAATTTCTCAGAAGAGGAATCCTCGCCGGTCCACCAGTCGTCGTCGTCGTCATTCAGTACGAGGACACCGACTGTGCCGCTGGGTAAGGGGCCGTTGGGTAAAAGCGGTTCACGGATAAAAGTATCGATTACGTAGTCTGTGTCAATGTCCATCATTTCTGTATCGCCCTCGCTAGAAGCTCCGTTTGCTTCATTGCGGGTGAGAGCAGCGGCCTTCTCGGGGTGCCGGTCGGCGAAGCGTTGGGCTGGAGCGCGAGGTTTGTGTTTCAAAGGGCTGGTAACTGGGAGAGGAATGTGCAGGTTGTCTTCTTTCTCGACTTCTTTGGAGAGGGCTTCTAGTCTACGCAAGTCGTCTTTTGAGGGGAGTGTGCGGACGGGGTTGTGTAGGGAGGGTTTGCTGGCGTGGCCTAGGGCGCTGGCTGCGCCGGGGCGTTTGCGGGGGCGGGGTGTCGAGTCTGGCGTTGGTGTCGCTTCTGAAGTCCCATTCTGGGGTTGTGGTGTCTGGTTGTTCTGGGTCTGGGGAGGGTGTTGCACAGATTGTGTGGATTCAGTGGGTGGTCGTGATTCGATAAAGACACGCTTTGCGCCTGAGACGGAAACGGCTTCGAGTTGAAATCTGCGCTCTGCGGTGGGTGTTGGTGGGACTTGTGATGTGGATGAAACGGGGATTTCGTTTGGCTTGGTGAGACGGCGGTATGCAAAGTTGCTCTTTCGGCGCTTGCTGGAGTCTGCCGAGTCGAATCTGAGCGCATCGACGGGGGCTTCGTTGCGCCGACGCTTGAGGGAGATTGTTTGGGGCGGAAGGAGTGACATGGCTATGCTTGTATATGGTGGAGATCGACTCTATACTTGGCGGACACGGCCATGTAATTCTTTAGACGTCGTGGGGTATTATTTTGCTGTTGGTGTCGAAGCTGAGCGCGGGGGTGGAGTAACGTGAAAGACATCCCACGCAGAGCCCCATGTTAACCTAGCGTCATGCCAAGCTCACACCCGTCGCAACATCACCTGGCCATGCATCAACACGCCTCCAGACATCACATGCAACACCAGATGATGTGCTCCACTTAGCCTCCGAGTAGTCCTCGATATGGCTGTCTACACCATAGTTCATCCCAACCCCTCATCGTGTCCTTGAAGACGTCACGTCGACTCCTTATCAGACGCGTCGCTTCTCACCTCCGTAAACTCCGCAGCACCCCCGAGATCCCAGAAACCTAGACTCTCCACAACCACAACACCACACTCGTACATTATGGAACGTATACGGCGCGTATTCGAGCGCCAGAACGAGGATGCCTCGTATGAACCTCTGGAAGGAGGCTCTGAAAGGCCAGACGGCGAACACATCAGCGCCGGGGAACAGGCATTCTCATGGACAGACTACTCTGTCTTTGTGTTGTTGGGTGTTGCTATGCTGTGGGCATGGTACGTTGAACCATGGCAAATATCGTAATTCATCTAATCTGTCATGTTAGGAACATGTTTCTGGCCGCTGCACCATACTTCCAGCATCGTTTCGCCTCCAGCGATAACATCCTCCGCAACTTCCAGTCCTCGATCCTATGTGTATCGACGGTAGGCAATCTGGGCTCCATGATTGTCTTGACAAAGCTGCAAGCACATGCAAACTACCCCAGGCGCATCGCTGTCGCCCTTGCGCTCTACGCATCTGTCTTTACTCTCCTCGCCCTCTCCACCAAGCTCTTTTTGAACGTCTCAGCAGGCGTATACTTTGCCTTCCTCATGATACTCGTCTTCACCGCCAGCTTGGCCACCGGCTTGTGCCAAAATGGTGTCTTCGCCTTCGTCTCTGGATTCGGACGAGAAGAGTACACACAGGGCATCATGACGGGACAAGGCATCGCCGGCGTCCTGCCAGCCATTACACAAATCGTCACCGTCCTCAGCGTCCCTGCCAAACAACACCGAGACGCTGATGCAAACTTGCCGCAAGAGTCTAGCACCTCCGCTTTTGTCTACTTTCTCACAGCCACAGCCGTCTCAGGTGCCACGCTACTCGCATTCTTCTACCTGCTCTCCCGCTCGAGCAGCAAAGCACGCATGTCACGTACACCACCCACTGACTACGAGAACTTGGACTCCAGCAACCCCGGCGCAGAGAGGAAGAGCATACCCTTGACATACTTGTTCTCCAAGTTACGCTACCTAGCCCTAGGAGTCTTCACGACCTTTGCCCTGACAATGTTCTTCCCCGTCTTTACCGTGCAAATCGTCAGTGTCGCCAACCCAACTACAGCACCACGTATCTTGCAGCCAACAGCCTTCATTCCCCTTGCCTTCTTCTTTTGGAACCTCGGCGACCTTGTTGGTCGTACACTCCCCGCTCTACCCTTGTTGCGCCTCACACACCGCCCTCGTCTCATCTTCCTCCTCTCCCTCGCCCGCGTGGTCTTCATTCCCTTGTACATGCTATGTAACATCGGCGGCAATGGCGCAGCTATCAGCAGCGATACATTCTACCTCCTCGTTGTGCAAGGAGGCTTTGGTGTTACGAGTGGGTATCTGGGAAGCAGTTGCATGATGGGATTCAGCGAGTACGTGGAGGCTGGGGAAGCTGAAGCAGCAGGAGGGTTCATGTCACTGGCTCTTGTAGCTGGGTTAGCGACGGGTAGTTTTCTGAGTTTCTTGGTAGCGGCCTGAACATTTATATTAGACGAAGACTGAATACACAGTTTCTGTCATACAGTTCAATTTTGATTGTGACCGTTCCTATGAACCAGTTCATGTATTTTGATAAGTTTTTACTCCTTCCCCAGCATACTCACTCTGTACTATGTAGACCATGCAATTGACGGTTTTGCCTACCTCGTCTCTTTCCTCATCCATGACCTGTTGTTCCCAAAGGATGCGTTTGCTACCCTGTTTGCTATCCCGCCACCACACACCCTCTCTTTCCTCCCCCACCCCATCCAGCATATCCTCCTGTTCTCCCCCTAATCTCACCTGTCTCTCTCTCTCACACAAACTCTCATATGCCCTTTCAAACACCGTAATCTTATCAAAGATGTAATAGGCCGCTATAGTCTAGGGGTATGACGTTCGCCTCACAGTTCCTGACATGGGCTGCGCGCGAAAAGTCCTCAGTTCGATCCTGAGTGGTGGCAAGTTTTTTTTTGGGCTGTTGAGGGGAAACGGTGGGAGTGTCTGTTGTTTTGGTAGAAGAGGTCGTGGTAGTGTGTTGGGAGTGGCGGTAAGGTGCTTCTCTTTTTTTTTTTGATTGAATTGTTTTGGCTTTTGATAACTGCCTCTCATATTGTTAGGCCTAACACTGTGATAATCAGTTATGCGTTGACGTTGCCGTATGCTCCAAACAGCTGAGAGACTATGTGCGAGGTCGTCGATATACTACATGCCAGGCGGTTGGTATTGTCGAGGGTCGGACTTTGCGATACAGGCTATTTGCGCTCCAACAGAAGCCATGGTGGAAGAATTGAAAGCCCCATTTTCTCTCGGTTCGTCCCACTTTAGCCCTCAGCCAACTCTTTCGCGATGGTTCATGCTACAACTGGTATTGACGTCGATGTGCAGCGAACACAGCAATTTCCGACTTCAAAAAATTCCACGATATTGATTTCATTGCGGCATGACGTTGGCATGTGCAAAACCAACCGTGAGTGGATCCCTAATGACGAGGTTGCGGTCGGTTCATCAAGTCCACGATCGAGCGAAGCGCACGTGCACGCTGACATCACGGTCGAACCACCACCCGATGCTTGCTCACCCCACGATCGGGAGACAAGCCTTCTAACCTCAACAGCGTCTCATCTAACCCTAGACAGCAACGCTCCACCACCGCTCCACCACCGCTCCGCGCCATGCGCCCACCACCAATCGGTGCCCTCGGTGCCCTCCGTGCTTGGCAGCCGCACCTCATTACCAGGCGATAGTGCCGCTCGAGTAGCCGTTGCATGCCCGCGGCCGAGAGACTTTGGAGACTTTGCACCCAGTGAAACGGTACGTCAGCGGCCGTGTCGCAGGCACGAGGAAACGCTTGGTGACGCGAGAATGTATCGGATTGGCTGGGTGGAGTTGTGTCAAGTGCTGTGATTCGTGGCCTGACATTGATGATCAGTCGTGGTGCGGTGCGCGGGTGGAGAGACCGCGTTTTACCACACGTGTGGTGACTTCCCCGCACGAGGCTGTGTAGGGGCTCGCACTGCGTATATACTTGCATGTGTCCGCCTGCTGGATAAAGGAGAACCAAAGTACCTCACTTTCCCAAGATTCATCACACAACCATTAGCAACCACTCTATCATCATCGAATAAGTCGATCTTGACATCTACCAATCAACACTATCAACCATTCTCAACAACAACAACCAACATACCCAGCAACATGTCTTTCCTCCTACGCAGCGGCTCAACAATCCGCCAACGCCTCTTCACCTCTTCGGCCCGCAAAGCAAACATCCTCTCCCTTGAGGACGCCGCCTCCGCCCAATTCAACCATGCCGCATCTGCAGTCCCAAAGCTCGGCCGTGTGGCAAAATGGTATCTGCCTACCATGGCCGGCCTCGCCCTTGGCATGATCTATCTGCCCAAGAACTTCGTCTCTCCTGCACCACCAGCCGTCCGCAGGACCGTCACTCTCCCAGAAGCCACTGCCAACATTGGCTTCGGTGTGACCAGTGCGCTCAATGAGGCGAACCGCAAAGTGCATGCGCCAGAGGAGTTGACCCAGGACCAAAAGAACATGGCGCTCATGGATGCATATGGTGAGCGCAGCAGTTTGGAGGACATGGAGCGTGCGCTTGCTGGATTGGAGGCGAGGATGGTGTCTGAGAAGGACCGCAATGCGAGGCTTGAGGAGGCGTATGGTGCGCGCGACAGTGTCAAGGATCTCGAACGCGCCATGCAGATCTACGAGGTTCAGTGATTTGAGTCGTCGAGAGAGCGAGAGAGTATGTGTTGAAGAGACACTGAACAGAACTACCAGCTTCGTGCTGCAAGAAGACTAAGGAGAAGTGCCCAGCTGAGCTGAGAGCCACTCGTTACAACAGCGATCTCGCGCGAAACGCCGAGTCGCGAGGTGAGGAAGAGGAGGAAACATGCGCGGTCGCATAAGGGGAGTTTGGGAGAGGTTTCATTTGTATGCCACAAGGGCACATTTGGGAGGTGAATGCACTGAGGTGCAAAGGTCAACATCAAAGCAAATACGTATAACTTATCAGTAACGAGATCTACGAATTACGAGATCACGAAAACAACTCCAATCAAAGCAAACAAATTCAAAAATATTAAACAATCACATCTTCCATCTCCTGTGTTGTATTCGTTTGCCACGATTGAACAGTATTGCCACTGTACGCTGATGCTACAAACATCTACACCAACACGACTGAATAATTGAACGCTAGAACATCTCACATGCTCTTCCTACAACCTCCCTACTCACCCCCTTTCCAACGAGTCCACCATCTTTACCAAGCACATTCCGTGAAACACGGCCGCCGTCTCGGCACAATTCTGCCTCCGCGGCTCTTGCCCCAAACACAAGACGGAGACACGGGGTACCCTAGAGTACGTAGCCGACACACTCCGCCGGCCGCGCTCACACACCTTGGTTTCGCCCGCGTGCATATCCACGCCGCGCAGCAGCAGCACAAGATGGGGAAATAAAAAGTGCAGATCGGTGGTGGGGGTTGTTCTTCCTCCACGTTCCGGACACGTGTACCGGTAAGCTGTTTGTGGGGAAGGTAGCGCGTGGTTATTGTGTTCCCGTCACGTTGACAGCGATAACGCTTAAGCGCATACAACAGCAGGGAGACAACAAAGGCATTAAGCGTTATCATTATGTTATCTCTACTACTTGTAGAGAATGTATGTATACTGAAGTAACTTTGAGTAGACTTTTTAGTGCAGTATAGTGTAGTGTAGTTACCACAGTGCTTATAACTTTGGTGGCCTTATGAATATGAGGTCCTTTGTATGTAAGTTCTTAATCGTTGAACTGTGTTTGCAATGTTTGGTGTAATTTTGAATCTTGTCTGCTAAGTTGTATTGCTGCATTAAATAGACGCTCGCTGAAGACGTGTGTGTGTCCAGAGGTTGGACAATGGTAATTCATGTTTGTGGTGTTTCTGAGGTGTCCTACTGTTTAACTCACGTGCAGACCTCATAGACCAAACAACCTCACAGCAGATCTCCCATGTGACTTCAATTAATAATGGAAATACTCGATACCGCACTTGCTAGAATACCTCCCAGTCTCTTCATCACTCGCCATGTCTCTCTCGCTTTTCACCCTCTCTCCACTCTGCTCACCTCCCATGCCATCCCCCCTTATTCCCATGATCTCTTTTTGCTCACAATCTGTCTAACACACATATCTACCATCCTTCCATCGCCCAGCTGACCCTTCCTTTCACTTTCGCGTCCTATATCAATCTTCGGGTTATCCACCTTGACTGTTAAAGCGATATCCTCGTCGTAAGCCATGAGTCGCTCCACTTGTTCCAGCGTCACGTTCCAGTCTCTACGCAGGGCTAGGAGGTCGCTGGGGAAGTAGTGTTCGTGAAAGACACTCTCTATATGGTCGACTTTTTGAGGGGGAGCGTCTGGCATTGGGGTATCAATGGCTTCTGGTGGTGGGAGAGGGTTGGTAGGAGATACTGCTGCGGGGGGTGTTTGGATGATTGGGTCATTTTCGAGATTCGTATCGTTGTTTCCAGCCGCAGTGTTTCGATCTTCTTCTTCGAGTAGCTTCGTCTGTTTACGCGTGTCTTCGAGCTTCATCTCCATGATCATGATTGTCAGAAAGACTAGGATCGCGACCAAGATCCCATTGATTGGCATGTAGAGAATGATCACGGGGCCGTCGAATGGCCGGAAGCATTGAGTGCTTGGAGCTGAGGTTTCGTTCATTGTGATGGAATGGTCAACAATCTGGATTGATGTGCTGGATCAAAGGCGTCTTCTGCGATATGATGTGATGTATCTGGAACCCTTGTAGTAATATGGTGATTGAATTTAAGGACAAGGTACTCGAACAGCTACTACTTATACTCAATACGAGTACCTGCTTATGAGACATGTCCCTGAGAAGTGATCTCTGAGACAAATCTGCACAATGGTCTTACTTCTGTCGACGAGGAATTCTCGAGACACTCGATTGTAATTTTGTTGATTCGTGATTCGAGAGACATTATGAGGACTCAAGAGATGTGCGGGTTGACAGGTCAGCAGCAGTGCGTCAGAGTGACAACGAGGGCACGTCTTGCCCGTGGACTCACTTCTGAACGTCACTCACAGCCCACTCCGGCCAAACCTCCTCTTCTCGAGGCTTGCTCGCCAGATTTCGATCATGAATATGCTCCTCCAGCGGCAACTCCTGATGTTGACTCCTCTCGCCCATATCCACTCCTCTCTTCTGGATCGTCCTTGCATAGCCTAGTGTCTGCTTCTTCCACTCCTTCCTACTGACCTTACCTTCCACCATGTCTGCCAGAATCATTGCATCGAAGCACGCCTGACTCGTGCTTGCAACAGTATGTGGTCGAAAGCCAGACAATGCGTCGCCGATTAAGACGACGCGCCCGTTCAAAAACTCATTCGTAGGCGCGACGACGTCGGTGATGGCCTGTACAAAGGGTTTCTTCGTCCCGCAAACAATTTCTGCGAATTGAGGAGGAAGCTTCTCTCGCGCAATCTTGCGCTGTTTCTCCCAAGCTTTTGGATCGATTTTGCCAGGTGGCATGGTGATGTGATGGTACTGGCCGTCCACGTCCGTCATCAGCTCCTTGAATTCCGGCGATGGATCGGTCAGAGAGGGCGAGGGGAAGTTGGTGTAGTAGACAAAATTGATCAAGCGCTTGCCAGGCTCCAATGTGCCATTCTCACCCGGTATCAGGTATGCAAGTATCTGGATACCCTTTGCGTGGAAGAACGTGAAGCGTTCGCTGAATGCCTCGAGAGTTTTTGGGCTAACTTCGTCTTCGCGGGCTGTGCCGCGGAGAGCAACGTAGCCTGCATACGTGCGTTCCACATCTGGTGAAAGCATTGAGCGGATTGTAGAACTTGGTCCATCGGCGCCAATGACGAGGTCTGCTTTCATCTCACCCGTATCTCCGTCGCTTGTCTCAAACTGCACCACCACTTTGTCC